AGAAGAAGAAGAAGAAGAAGAAGAAGAAGAAGAAGAAGAAGAAGAAGAAGAAGAAGAAGAAGAAGAAGAAGAAGAAGAAGAAGAAGAAGACAACGACAACTGTGGGGTCCTTGGTGCTCTCTGAGCTGGGTTGCTTCCTTGCAGACATTTCATGGCCCAGCTAGGTAACCTCATCAGTGCTGGGAAGGAGTGGAGTTGTATAAATCTTTTATAAAGCCATCTGGCTCATCTGAATTCTCTTTGGCCTGCATTTCCCAATCTCCTAAGATTTATGAATGCATTCGGGCTTTCCTCCCTTTGCGCTTGTGAAAAAAGGAGTTTTCCATTCTCTGGACGGATGTTTTGGGGGAAAACTACTCCAGACAAGATTCGAATCCCTTAGCGGTGCTCCCATTCGAAACTCTTGTCAAAGAGACGCTCGGAGAGAAAACCCGGACTCTCGGAAGCATCGCGTCTGCGTCCCCCCAAATCCGGACATCCTACACCCCCCACCCCCACACACAGATCCTTGAACTTCGCCTCGGGGCCGTCCACGACCTTGCAGCTCAGTTGCATCAGCCGGGCGCTTCAAGCGAAAAGAATCACCGTCCAAAAACCATTTCATCTTTACACAAGCCCAGCACCAACTCGCGGGCCGGAGGGTGGCGAGCGAGAGCCGGGCTCCTGCTTCTCTTTTCGCCCTCCTCCCAAGCAGGAGAGGGGAGGACCCAGCCGGCAGGAACCGGCCCGCATCCTTTCATCCTTTGCAACAAAAAAAAATTAAAATTAAAAATTAAAAAAAACCCCACCCGAGGACGGAGACGGGCGCAATTTTTGGAGCCAGGAGAGCGCGCGGCGGCTGCATTTTTTTTTTTACTATCCTTATTTGGTCCTCCCCTTCCCCACGCGTGGCTGAGCTTCCCCCTTCCCCCCCCCTGCAGGAGAATGGGCTCTTCCGTGCTCCTCACATGATGAGCGAGGCACTTTCGCTTTTCCATATATAGAGGCCAGGCGGTGTGACAGCTCCCGCGAGGGCGAAGAGCAGGAGGAAGGTGGATAGGACGGCGCGCTTTTACGCAGCAGCCCGTTGGAAACCTGGAAGAGCTCCGCGCGCCTGGCCGGGAGACAGCGCCGCTCGCCCGTCCTGCCTTTGAGAGGGGCAAGCTCGCCCACCTTTTTCCTTCTTTCCTCCGAGAGCCAGCCAGCCGCCGCCCCCTTTCCGACCCCCCGTTCCTGCCCAAAAGAAACCCCCCAGCCCCGCGCATCCATCATGAACGGGACTTTAGATTGCCTGCAGGACCACACGCTGAACGAAGAGCAAGGGGCGTTCATGTTCACTTCGGAATCCGTCGGGGAAGGCCATCCAGGTAAGGCTTTGTTGGAAGTCCTACGTTCCAGGTGGATCAGGGGGATGTCAGAGGTCTCCTTCCCCACAAGTAGATCTCCTGCCTGGAGGTTTTTTTTTTGGGGGGAAGAAGGTTTTCAACAACCCTGGAGGGTTTTTAAAGAAGAGATGGGACAACCATTGGTCTGAAATGGGATTGGGTCTCCTGCTTGGACTTGAAGACCTCCAAGGTCCCTCCCAACTCTTGTTAGTCTACTGTCTTGACCACGTTTAGGATCCTCTCTCCGGTCAGCCATAGTATCATGATTTCTTCGGGTTTTTTGGCACACGGGCCTTGAAACCTTGGTAGAAGTACAGGGTGCCTTCAGAGCACCGGGACCTGGAGAAGGTGGACATGAGCCAAGAACAGTTACACCTTGTTTACCTGAGAGGGCATGTTTATGGGGGGGAGCAAGACTCACAGAAAACAGCGGGGCTAAGTTCAGGGTAGAGAACGGCACTCAAGTCTCCAGTCCTTGCGCGTTCCTTGGGTTGATTTAAATTGGCACTTATTCTCGTCTAGATATGTAGAACGTCGCTCCCAAGTCTTCTGCTGAAATCAATAAGTTGATAAGGGTGGGATCTCTTTATGGTAAACCCCAGAGGCATATTAAGGGGGTGGGAGGGGTGGAAAGATGAAGGAAATCTATTTTCTCATATCTTTGGGAGGAGGCCGTGGAGAAGAACAACCTATTCTTTCTGCTTCACCGTATCTGGAGGGTTGGGGGTGTTGTTGTTGTTTTTTGCTCCTCATGTTTTTTAGTTAAGGATCCATGTTGCTAAAATGTCCATGTTGCTAAAAAAAGAAAAGAAAAAAAGACAGGAAGAAAAGGGAAGGAGACAGCCATGCATCTTCTCCTGAACGTGGCCTCCTGGATTTCTTCCGTGTAGAACTCGGTCACGGAACAGACATTGCCCAAAGCAGCCGCGCTACATATTACTCCCACTTCCACCCTGTCCTTTTAATCACCGTGGGTGCGAGACAGCGGATGAAGGGGACCGCTGGCTCGTCTCATATTTTTCTCGTAAATTGTAAAAACCAACCAGATTGTTTGCTTACCACTACCGTAGTAGTACTACTACTACAGGATTCCTTCTTGAGCAGGCCCGCAGAAGGCAGCTGGCCAAACTCTGTGTACTGATACGGCAGCCGGGTTTATTTTACTCTGCTAAGCATGGAGAGACAAGGTACATGCTTCCAGTGGATGGAAATAACTCCGTGTTCTTCATGCAGAAGGCCAGGCTATATCAGAGCTATGTTGTACTTAGATTACATGTTTAGGATTGTGAGCTTGTGAGATAATTTAGGGATTTCCTTTTGGGTATGTGAATAGCTGCTATTCTTTTTTTGTTAATGCCATCTAACATTTTTGGGGAGGGGGTTATCATTCTGTGGCCCTTTACAGGGTGTGAGAAGTAGAACCTGGCTGATAGTTTTTCCCCACCAGGAGCTGATTTGGACATTGAAGCTCTGACAGTTTTTCATTTCTGATACTTTCTTGGAGCAAAGAATGGCTAGGCTGGATCTGAGTAGGTTCGGTTGCCCTCTCACCCAGTGAACAGCAACACTAGAACAGAACAGAACAGAATAATGATAATAGGATAGACTAGACTAGACTAAACTAGAATAATGAGAATAGATTAGACTACACTAGAATATAGAATAGAATAATGATAACAGAATAATGATAATAGCATAGACTAGACTAGAATAATGATAATAGTCTAGACTAGAATAGACTAGAATAGAATAATGATAATATAGAATAGAATAGAATAGAATATAGAATATAGAATATAGAATATAGAATATAGAATATAGAATATAGAATAGAATAGAATAATGATAATAGAATAATGATAATAGCACAGAATAGAATAGAATAATGATAATAGACTAGACTAGACTAGACTAGAATAAAGATAATAGACTAGACTAGACTATAGAATAGAATAGAATAGAATAGAATAATGATAATAGAATAATGATAATAGCACAGAATAGAATAGAATAATGATAATAGACTAGACTAGACTAGAATAGAATAGAATAGAATAATGATAATAGACTAGACTAGACTATAGAATAGAATAGAATAGAATAGAATAATGATAATAGAATAATGATAATAGAATAGAATAGACTAGAATAGAATAGAATAATGATAATAGACTAGACTGGAGTAGACTAGACTAAGAATAGAATAGAATAGAATAGAATTCTTTATTGACCAAGTGTGATTGGGCACACAAGGAATTTGTCTCCGGTGCATAACCTCACAGTGTACACACATGCAACAACAAAGTGATAGGTCATAGATCAGGGGTGTCAAACTCACAACGTGCCGTGCCGTGACGTCTCACAACTTTTTCGCCATTGCCGGCAACGGAGTGGGTGCGATTTCACTATGATGCATCCGGCTTGCAGGCCGGCAGTTTGACACCCCTGTCATCGTTCATGAATCATAGTCCTTTGATTGAAGCTTTAACAGAAGAAAAAAATCTTCTGGTGTAACTCACCTCCTGGCACAAAACACAGGTCGTCCCCGTCTTACGGCCACAACTGAGCCCAAAATTTACGTCACTAAGCAGGACCATTGTTCCGCGGGTTTTGTCCCATTTTATGACCTGGCTTGCCCAAACCGTTAAGCGAAATTGCTGCTGTTGTTCAAAGTTAGTGACAGGGAAAGTTAAGGGAATCCGACTTTCCCCCATTGCATTTGCTTGTCAGAACGTTGCAAAAGAGGATCACGTGACTCCTGGGACGCTGTGCAACCGTCATAAGTATGAGTCAGTTGCCAAGCGTCTGAATTTTGATCATGTGACCCCGGGGATGCTGCAACGGTCGTACGTGTGGGGAAACACTCGTAAGTCGCTTTTTTTCAGCACCGCCGTAACTTCAAACAGCCACTAAACGAACCGTCGTAAGTCGAGGACTGCCTGTATCTTCCTGCTGGATCAGAAGCAGCTGAGATGATGACCTGAATTATCATTGAGGAGATGCTTCTAGTTTCAGTTTTGGACCCAGAGTTTTGGGTGATCGATCCATTTCTCAGAAAGGAAATAGACTGAAAGTTATTGGCTGAAAATCCCTGGGATGTCTTCTGCCAGCCAAATTTCACTTTTTTTTTTGCTTTTTTTCCCCTACACAAATGGAACCCTTTGAAACAGCCCAAGAGGGCAGACAACCACAATTTACAGTAGTGGCCAAAATTGTGGAGACCTTTTGGGGAAAGTGTACAGTAGAAATGCCACCTTTGGTTAAGTTTCCACCCATTTTTCTTCTAATTTCTTTACAACTGTAGCCTTGTTCACTTAATAAGACTATTTTACATCTCTTTCTGGGCAACCAGTCAACTCTTTGCACCATGACTTTAATTTTATTACATTTTACAAGTTCACTCAATGAAAGAATGCAAAAGAACCCAACCAACTTGATAGCCACCACATAACACACTGACAAATGTCCTCCTCTCAGCTTCAATACATGACATCAATCACTGAATCCTACTGTGATCTGATTGGCTCATGGCCAAAACAAGATGACACCCGATTGGCTCCCTAAGCACTCGTGCTCATTGGCTACAATCAGGTGAAGGAAAGCTACCCGAGATCAACCTAAGCAAGTTGTGCTTCCTTTTTCTGGTTACTTGGCTATCACTTTTCATAGAATACAGTACAGATAATTGAACAAACTTTGTTGCATTACATTCTTGATTAAATTACCTTTCCATTGATATATAATTTTATGGCACTACTCCCCCCCCCCAAAAAAGTGGTGTTATTAGCCACCAAACCTCAAAAATACACTTTCCCCAAAAGGTCTCCACAATTTTGGCCACTACTGTATATCTTCTGAGCCTTGCTGATTCTCAACACTGATTTTCTTTGCAGCTTGGCTGCTTCTCATATGCGCCCCTTTCATTAAAAGAATTTAATGAGCATATATCTATGGAAATTGGGTGGATATTGATCTTTGGATAGGGATATGTCTTGCTCTTGATTTCAAATTTTAATTTTTGACATCTGTCTACTGAGCTGGGTAAAACGGGGCCTTTTCGTTCTCATCCTCCATTGCTCTGCTTTGCTGCATTTGTGATGTAAGGTTAACTTTCTTCAGCATCCATGCTATCTGTTTCATGGTACGTTCGACCCACAACAGCTCCTCATTTTTACAACTCATCCCAGGATTAATGTAAAGTTATTTATTTCTAGGTTTCAGAACTCTTTCTCGGGCCCTTTGAAGGCAAAGTCCGTTTCGGGACGAAAGCAAGGAGCAAAACTCATCGTAATGCACAAACCTCTTTAAGCAAGCAGCACAAGAGAAATTGTAGCGCATAAATGTGCTGATTTAAAGAAGGGAATTTAAACAACAACAATAATAACAAAAACGAGGAAAGCTGGTCAATTCTACTGTATAACAGTGGGACTTATTTCAAGCAAATCTTGCCACAGGAGGCTTGAACAGACAAGATTTTAATGATGGACCAAGTCAGATGAAACTTGGCAGCTGGCTTCTCTTGAATGACCTTGTCTCGGTTGGAAACTAAGGAAGGACAGGCCAGGTTAGTAGGTGGGGAGCAGAACCTCACAGAAGATTTCTCATCTGTGATTGGGAAATTTAAAAAAAAAATATCCCAAGCAGAAGCAGGTTAAATCCATTTTGTGTTATTCTGAAGGACAAGGGGGGACATGATAGCGGTGTTCCAACATCTCAGGGGCTGCCCCAAAGAAGAGGGAGTCAAGCTATTCTCCAAAGCACCTGAGGGCAGGACAAGAAGAAATGGATGGAAACTAATCAAGGAGAGAAGCAACCTAGAACTAAGGAGAAACTTTCTGACAGTTAGAACAATTAACCAGTGGAACAACCTGCCTCCAGAAGCGGTGAATGCTCCAACACTGGAAGTTTTTAAGAAGAGACTGGACGGCCATTTATCCAGAATAGTATCAGGCACAAAATCAACTGGGTGGCTTGGGCCAGCC